AGAAAGAGAGGAAGAGATACCAGGATTCCAGCAACAGTGGCAGAGAGGCCTCAATGAACTGGGCAGACAGTGGAATGAGGGAATAAGGTGGACAAATTATAGCAGTAAAGTGGAGTAGCAGACATGAGGCAGAGACGGTAAGCTATAGTCTTTAGTATAGACAGCTCTGAAACACTATTTTAAAAAAGGCAAAGGTCATTGTTAATGGTGTATAAGGATTTAAAAGACACAGTAGTCTTATCACCATATGTAGTTTGAATTTAATTTGTTCTGGTCTGTCCACTCATGTCAGATTTGAGGGCACAGACATCTTGACCCAAAAATAGCAGGTTATACCATGGTAACTATCCTTACTTTCCTATTAACTTAAACTGAAATCCTGTATTACTTACATTGTCTTACTATGACTGATCTTAATTGAATCTGAATCATAAGACTATGGGTTGGCCTTGGCTGATTTTATTTGAATTTGGTATGCTTGTTAGTATCAACCCTAAAAGTAGAGGCAACTACTCTGAAGATGACAAGATGTAAAGGATATCCATACTGGTATTAACTATTAACAGCTCTCAAATCCTACAATGCTTTCAAAGTTAAGTTTTTATAAAAATAGGTAATACTATGTTTAACTATAATAAGCCGGTGTTGTGGACAAATCTATTGAAAAAAACAAGAGAAAACATAGTAACTACAGAAGATCATCTATATTGTGGTCTTATATGTCTTATCCATTGTATGTTTTTCTAGGAAATTGTTTTGCTGTCTTGCTATGACTTGGTTTTCCCTATAATACAGGGAGGATAGATATATATGTAGAAATTCACACATGGGTTTTTTTTTAAATTATTTATGGGAACAGATTATATTATGCAAGATGTAATGAACAGATACTCTGAGGAAGAGATGCTAAGAAACCCGAGGCTAATTTTGTAGTATTATGGTATGAATTCTAGCAATACTATTGTTCGCTGATTAGAATGACATTGGACTGGTTTCTTGAGTTCAATTTCAGCATATGTAGAGATGGGGACAGCTATCACAAAGAGAATGAGAGATGCGATGGTGGTTATTATTGTCTTCCCTAATGTTAGATCTTGAAGACCTAAAAAGCCTTCATCATCCTGTAATGATTTGATTAGTTCTATAATATGCAGTAAGTATATAAAGTGGGTGAAGGTGGGGACAACTATTTGTAGGAAACTGGAGACAGTTAGATAGACAGTGAAGATCTCCAGTGGACTTGCTTTGAAATCTGTATTTCCTTAAATTGTTTTTTTTAACTGTTTTGTTCTGTTTCTATATGTTTAATCTTACCCTCTTTGAGATGTAAAACAAATGTGTAGGACTGATAACCATATTACTGAGCTTTTGTTCGATCATTGAGCAGAACTGTTTGTAGTGTCACTTTTTGAATGTCATTCTAAATACTTTAATTCTGTAACCTGAGCAGCTATTTCTAAGATGACAATATGTAACTTATCAACCAGCAATTTCTTACCGTTTGTTTTTCTGTAATTTTGTATTATTTCTACCCTTTTTTTTTTATCTCCATGTATTTTTTGTTTCCTTTTCTTTATATAAAAAAAAAAGAAAATTCTCAGATTAGACACATGGGAAAAATAAGAAAGCCCACTTGGAGAGGACAAAGGTACAGTTAATTATCTGGTAAAGAGATTGGTATGGATTTGCCATCTCCATGGCAAGTCAATGCTATTCACCAGGTGAGCGAGATTAATCTATGTAGCAGATTACACAGAACCCAGAGCCTCTTCTGGAAGACAGTGTAAGATTAACTCCAAAGCCATTTCAGAAATCACCAGGGCTACCTGTGCCACTGTAATTCGAGACACCAGAGCCTTGGGATTGTAGGGTCAAGACCTTCTGAAGCTGGAGTGTGGGCAGCTGATACTCCCAAACAGACTGCTGGCATCAAAGGTTGAAAGGGCAAGGCCTTCAAGCCAGTGATCTGGAAGGCCAGAGCATTACACTGGAATAGATAATTCTTTTTTTTTTTTTATGTCTTTTTCCTTTTTATCAGTACCGGGAATCCAACTCACAACTGCCTGCTTGCAAGGCAGGCGCTTATGCCGCTGAGCTAAATCCCCAGCCCCTGGAATAGATAATTCTTGAGTCTTAAGGTTTGGGACTTGCCTGGGAATTGTCATTCCTTTATTCTTTTCTATTTCTCCCTTGCCAGTCTCACCATTATGGGTTGCATACACACAGCATATTTGATTTTACAGTAAGAAAGCAATTTGCTTCAAAATTCTTTGTAAGTTGTCTCACTCATATCTAACTTGATGATAATTAGGGTGAGACTTTGGGTATAGGTTTTTTAAACTGATGCTGGAAAAAGTTAAGACTTTGGCTGTTGTTCAAATAGCATTAAAGTGTTTTTAAGTGACTTATTGATGTGAGAAGTGGTTATTAATTGGAGTGAGAAATGCCCTAGAAGACTTCCACGAAGAAGGCTGAACAATAAGAAACGACAAATCAGCCTCTCCAGGATCTGGAATCCAGACACGGGAAAGTAACAACCTGGGACAAGAAAAGAAGGAGGAAAGTAGGCCCCTGCGACCCAGGACAGACCTGAAGGGAAATGGAAGAGACAAACCACAGCAGAAAAGGAAGGGCAATCTGTACTTTCTCCCCAGCTCTGAGCCCATGATTTGAGAAAGATTGGGTCTAAGGAGACACAGTGGGTGACTCCAGAGCCTTCAGGAAGAGATGCTCCCGGGGAAGCGCGTACTGTGCACTCAGACTGGGGAGTGACAGCAGTCTGAGAGGTCGCCATGTCCCATGGGGGGACCTAGGGAGGGGCCAAGTGAACTTGAGGCTCCCAGCAGCCACGAGTTGGCTTCATCTCAGAGCTCCCCATGTCAAACTGCCAGTGACCAGGTAAGGAATGTCCAAACTGCATGAAATGTCCATGGTCAGGGAGTTGTGGTCAGGCCAAGCAGGGGACACACAGAGTGTTACAAACTAAATGATCCAGGCTCCAATCCCACGGCCAGAGGGCAGGTTCAGCCTAAACCCCAGAAGCCTGCTGCTCTAATCCTACTACCAGCTGGTTGGTGATTATTCTGCACTCATCTGGGCTCTGACAGCCTCCTTTGTCAACCAGCAACAGCCACCAAACTATGCTACCAAGCCCTAGAAGAAAATCACAGGCTTGAAATTACAGAGAACTCTCTGTCTGTCTGTCTGTCTGTCTGGCTCTCTCTCTCTCTCTCTCTCTCTCTCTCTCTCTGTCTGTCTTGCTCTCTATCTCTCTGTCTCTGTCTGTCTCTCTCTTTCTCTCTCTTCTCTTTGTTTGGTTTTTTTAATCATTTTTCCTTGTATGGGTGTTTGGTTTTGATTGGTTTTGGTTTTTATAAGCATGAATATTATTTAATTGTGAACTTGTTTTTATTTATTCTTTCCTTTTTCCTTCTTTCCTTCCTCCCTGTTTTCTTGACCAACTTCCTGAGGCTTGGGGACTCTTCCTTTGTCTTTCAGCCTTGCTTCTAATCTCATTTTCTTCTTTTATTTTTGTTTTTTTCTCTTCCCCGTTTTAAACTCACTCAATTGAATGGATATTTACTGTATGTAATTCCCTTAGAATAGTTTATACAACTATAAATCTTCTCCTGTGGTTAAAATTGACAAATTATTAGTTGTCACAGTTTGTCTTTTTCTAGTCTGTGTTGGCTGCTATTGCTATTACTAATTGTACTAATTTAACCAAGTGACACAAGTGTGATCAGTTGATCTTCCTTGTGTGCCAGAAATGCCATAGAACATAGGTAAAGCACACATCTGGGTGTGTCTGTGGGAGTTTCCAGAGCTGACTGGATCGTAGCCGCTCTAACTCTATGAGGTGATTAACCCATGGATGAGGTCGCAATGTGGCATCATAGAATTAGGAGTGGGGGACCAGTAAAAGGAAGTGAACAGGTAATGGGGGTGTGAATGGGTATGGGGGACTGGCTTTGGGGACTGTCTCTAACCTACCTCCCTTCTTCTCTGGCTCTTTCTGTCTCTGCTTCTTGGCACCGTGAAGAGAGCAGCTGCCCTCTACCACACCATTCTGCCATGATGTGTCTGCCTTGGTGCCAGCCAACTATAAAATGAAACTGTGAACCAACATAAACCTTTCTTCTTCTAAGCTGTTTTCTGGTTTGGAGCAGGGCAACCAAAAGCTGATCACAAATTCACAAGAATTTTGTGGTCTGAATGTTTATGTCCCCCACAGTTCCTATGCTGGAATCCTCCCTCCTGAGGAACTGTTATTAGGGTGGAGAGCATTGAGGGAGGGGGTGGTTAGGACACAAAGTTTGCTCCTGTGCCACATGAGGTTAGAACACAAAGATGGCAGTCTATGAGACAGTTGGCCCCCGGCAGACCTAGTGCTTTGATCTTAGACTTGCCAACTTCCACCACTGTAAGAAACAACTCTCTGTTCTTTATAAACTACATCGTTTATGGTACACTGTTATAGTAGCCCAAATGGATTAGAAATATAGTCAAAGGAAATAAAATAGGTACCTGGAAGGATATTAGCACCTCCGTGTTCATTCCAGCATTATGTACAGTAGACAAGATGTGGAACCCAAGTGTATGTGCACAAATGAAGAGAGGAAATGGTGTGTATGAGTATGTACCCATGTGTTCAGTGGAATATTATTCAGCCTTTAAGAAAGAAGATCCTGCCACTGGCAATAATAAACCTGGGAGACACTAGGATGCATGAGTTCAGCTAAGCATGGAAAGACAAATGTTGAAAAATTTCACATCTATGCTAAATCTAAGAAAGGGTCAAACTCAGAAGTAAAGAATAAAATGTTAGTTTTCAGAAATGGAAAGGTTGGGGTAAATAAGGCATTCATCACAGAACACAGAATAAATTCTGAAGGTCTAACATGCTGACTATCCTTCATAATGCTGTACTGTATTTTTGGAATTTGCTGAAAAAGTAAGTTGTTCTCACTGTACAAAAAGAAAAGAAAACTATGTGAGACTATGGGTATATGAATTACTTTATTTTAATCATTTCATTACAAGTGCAAATTAACAATTCACAAGTTTTATTTGTCAGCTTGACCTTAATATATGGGAGATAGGGGACTATGACTGTAGCTATCTTTGGAAAAAATAATATATTACCTAACAACAGGCAGGGAATTAAAAAGAAAGAATGTAATATACATTACTTCCAAAGTTCCTCCCATATATTGTAAATGATCTCGAAAATCTTTTTGAAGACATATTTAAACACATCATCTTCAGCTTTTCCCTTTACATTTTTTATTTTCTTATCATATTGCATCTTCACAGCCTCTATCGCTTTCTTCTTCTCTTCTTCTGATTTACTGCTGCCTTGTATTTGTTTGACTTCCTCATTTAATTGTTTAGTGAAGTTTTCCATTCTGAGTTTCTGATCCTTAATCTTCTTCTCTACGCCCTTGTAGATGGTGTCTGAAAAGTAGGCCCCTCCGTTGGCCTGCACCATTTTCTCTAACAGCTCCAGCAGCTCCTGCACCTGGCTTTCCTTCTCAGACCGGCCTGCTTTGTTGTTGATGGCGAAGCAGCGGTTCCCACACTCCTCGATGATGTCTGTTAGGTTTTTATCTGCATTTTCCAGGAAGTCACTTAGGCTGCTGCCATCCAGCTCATCTTTGCGAGTGAACAAGACCACCATGTGCTTCATGGCTGCCTCCCCAAAGACATGCTTGATCAACCTGACCGTCTTCTGCTCTTCCTCTGTGTAGCGGCCCAGCTGGATAACCATGAGGATGGCGTGAGGTCCTGGGCAGGAGGCGATGACACAGCGGCTGATTTCTTCACATGTAGTTTCTAGGTTGTCCTTGGTGTCAAAGAGTCCCGGGGTGTCAACAACAACAAGGTCTTTCCCGTTCCATTTCCGGGTTTGCTTTTCACAGTTCTTGGTAACAGCTTGGGCAGAGACTCGAGAAGGAAATTTTGCTGCCCCAAGGATGGTGTTTCCTGTAGCACTCTTCCCACTTCCAGTTTTCCCAACCAGCACAATCCTCAGAGCATTGTTCTCGTGTGCAGCCATGTTCATGTAAGGAGGCTTAGGTGCTCAGGTGTGTACAGGCCTTAAGGGAAGAAAGAGAAAAGTGCCAGTTCAGATAAATGGAACCATCCTCAATTCTCCTCTTTATTTTTTCACTCTGAAAATTCATTTTATATTCTTCCATGTATATTCAGGACAGGCAGAAAGACAAACAGTGCAATTACTAGAGAACAGAGATGATAGAGAAATTAAAGAATTACTGCACAACCGAGCACCTGGTCTAGATTTTACAGGCAACTACTATTAAACTTTTAAAATTTTGGTAATCTCCAAGCTGAAATGTTCATGATGATAGAAGAATGTCCCCACTCCCACCAGCCCACATGACAGGATGCTGGCCCACTCCCAAAGCCAGAACCAAGGGTGAGTGTTCACATCCCTGCCCGTGCCACCTGCCCACGTGCTCAAGCCAGGACTGAAGACTAGTGCCCCAGACCCCTGTACCCACCGCCACTACCACCAGTTATTGCTCTAGGCGAGGTGAGTTCATGAACAACGATATAGGAATCCAAGCAGCCAAATTGATAAATTTGAAATTTAATTAGTTGAACTCAGGGCCACTCATATACAGATTCCCCTGTTTCAGAGTGCAAACAAGTGGTCCTGAACTGGAAAGTTACAGAGCTTTTAAAATAGAGAACCAAAAAAGGCATCCTAATTTAGCTCGACTCTTACATTAATTTTTGGTTGACACCTGTATCCTGCTTCTTTTGTTGAGCAGGTTAATTTTTCTCCTGCGGGTACAGCTCATTCTGCTTTTCTCATGGGACTCATACCTTGAGTAATTTTTTTTATTTTTCTGGTTCAAATACAGGGCACTAGTTAAATGCAGGGCTCAAGATGGAGTCAGTTATGCCAAGCTACAACAGTAAGGAAAACTATGCTCAGCACCCAGCCACAGCAAAAGCAGAGGAGTCTTCAGGAAAACCCTTGGACTGTGGAAGTTATCTCTTAAAAATGATAGCGGCCATTGATATGCCAGATGTAGAAATATGATCATAGGGATGTAACAAGTATAAAAAATGAAAGATGGTCTAGTGCAGTGACACACACCATAATCCTAGAGATAGAGGCAGAGAGATTAAGAGTTCAAGGCCAGCCTGGGCTACATAATGAGTTCAACCCAATCCCCATTAAAATACCAACCCAGTGACACTCTTCACAGAACTAGAAAAATAACTTAAATTTATTTGGAAGCACAAAAGACCTCAGGTAGCCAAAACAATTCTGAACAAAAAACAAAAAAAGACTCACAAAGCTGGAGGCATTACAACATACGATTGCAAGATATGTTACAGAGCCACAACCAGAAAAACAGTATGGTACTGACATAAAAACAGACACACAGACCAATGGAATAGAATACAGATCCAGAAATAAATCCATACATCCACAGTTTTACTTATTTTCAACAAAGATGCCCAAAACATGCATAAAAGACACTCTCTTTAAGAAAATGGTGTTAGGAAACTGGATATTCACATATGTAAGACTAAAACCTGATCCATATTTCTTATGCAAAAATCTATTTAAAATGTGCCAAAGTCGTAAAACCCTCAAATAACTAGAAGAAAACATAGGGAAAACACTTCCGTATGTTAGTATTGGCAGTGATTTTGTGGCTAAGACCCCAAATGTATACATAATAAAAGCAAAAATATTGGGGCTGTATCACACTGAAAAGTTCCAGCACGACAAAGGAAGCAATCAACAGAGCAGACAGACAACCTGAAGAACTGGGGGAAATTGAAAGCTAGTCAGTCATATCATAAGTGATTAATATCCAGAACATATAAGGAACTCAAAATATTTGCCAAAAAATAACCTCTCTTAAATAATCCAACTTAATGGGCAAATGATCTAAATAGATATGTCTCAAAGGAAGAAATATAAATGGCCAACAAATACGTGATTAAGATCAGTAGTCATGAGAGAAAGGCAAATCAGGATCCTAGTGAAGGCTCATCTCACTTTTGTTCAAGCAAATATCATCAGTGAGGCAAAAGGAACACTGGTGAGGATATGGAGAAAGGAGAATTCTCAGATTAATTCTCAGTCTTACACATGTGAATATCCAGTTTCTCAGCACCATTTTCTTAGAGACCAAGCCACTACTCCAAAGAGATATCTCACTCCCATTTATATTGCAGCCCTGTTCACAATAGCCAGAAACCCATGAACAGATGAATGCATGATGAAATTATGGTGCATACACACAATGAGATGATAAGTCACAATAGTGAAATCCTGTTGTTTCCAGAAAAGTGAGTAGAATTTGGAGGACTTTTTCTTAACTGAAATGCAAGACCCAGAAAAACTAGTGTTGCATGTTATTTCTCAGGTATCAAGACTTTTTTTTAACTATTTTATTTTATTTTATTTTATTTTATTTTATTTTATTTGGTACTAGAGATTGAACTCACAACCTCAGGCTTGCTAGGCAGGCCCTTATGCCACTGAGCTAAATCCCCAGCCCTTTCTTTTTTTAAAGCCAATTCAAATGCAGACTAGTGATCACCAGGGCGCTGGGAAGGTTGGGGGTGCAGAGGATAAAGGGAAGTTAGATAATAGATACCAAAACAATGTCAGATATGCGAGGGATATCTGTCAGCAGCGCAGCACCTGCCTGGCAAGCATGAGATCTGGAGCTTGAATCTCAGTATGAAAAGAAAAAAACCAGCCAAGTTAGATAGAAGGAATAAGTTCCAGTGCTCTGCAGCAGAGCAGGGTGATCATAATTCATAACAACCTACTATATATTTTATGAAAAAACTCTAAAAGAAGAGCTTAAGGCTGTAAACATAAACGGTAAGGAGGAGTTGGGAATTTAGTGCGCTGGTGGAGTGCTTGCTTGCCTAGCAAGTGCAAAACCCGGCTTTCAGCTCGCATTACCAAAAAAGAAGATACTTTTCAGAGGAAATGATGAGACGGGCGTGGTAATTACACTGATGTCATCAAGCACATTACTTACATACACAGAAACATCATCCTGAGCCCCGTGAATGTGTATGCTTTTACGTTAGTCAAACAATAAAAGATAAAAACTCAAACACTAGTTTTATGAAACAAATATAATGCCAAAAACTATAGCTGTTTCTCATTTGTGAATATTGATACAAAAATCTTAAGTGAATGATTAAATGCAAACAGATAATACACTGTGTTAAGAGATTTATTGCAAATCTACTAGTGGGGAGGGGCAGGGATATAGCTCAGTGGCACAGCACCTGCCTGGCAAGCTCAAGGTCAGAGTTCAATTCCCATCAAAAAAAACACCTAGTATGGTTACATGAAAGAATATTCACTATTAGACTATATCCCATTAATAGACTGAGGTGAAACTTACCTAGATACAGAAAAGATTTTTAACCAAATTTCATGTTGATTCTTGTTTGAAACATTTTATAAAATAAAACAAGTAGAAAAAAAAAAAGAACAAGTAGAGACTGCTTTAGGAGAATTTCAAACAAATACAAATTTCATTTTGTCATCATCTTTTTTCTGTAGAAGTAAGAAATTGATCATAACATTTATTTGGTGGAAAAAAAGTGACAGTTATCCTGGACACCAAGAAAAAGAACAAAGAGAGAAAGGTAGTTCTATCTTATTGGGTCCTGACCTAGATCCCTAATCTTCCAAATGAGTGTACAGTGAAGGCTTAAATAAAATGAGACAAGTGGTATGATTTTAGAGCTCCAGGAGGGTCAAAGCCCTTTAGCTGAACTCGAGACTCTGAGGGCTAAGACAAAGACTTCTCTGGACCACCCATTTTTATTAGGCCCAACAACAAAGGGCAGGGAAACTGAGGAAAGCACAGGCAGTGAGCAGGACTTGGGAGTCACTTCAAGAACACCTCCAAGTAATGAATCATGTCAATTTAGTAGCACTGTCATCATGAAGACATGGAGGAAGTGAGACAGTGGGAGTAATTTCTACAGCTTCGGTCTCTATCTAGTTAATTGATGTTTGAGCCAAGTGTCCGCAGCTGTGGCCTTGTCTTGCCCTTTGAAGTATCTCTGGCCTCAGAGGCCACTACAGGCCTCAGCCAGGACCAGTGATTCATAGAGGTTCTCTCACTATGAATCAGCAAGGGGCCTGGGCCTAAAACAGACTCACAGATAAACATAGAAAGCCAGTCAGTAAAATTTAAATCCTGCTCAGAGCCACTTTGTAGTGGTCTCCACCAATATTTGATAATAAACCATTGCAGTCTTCATAATTAAAAGGAATAAGATGTCCATGAATCACTAGAGATGTAGAACCATGTAACAAAAACAGAAGACTCATATGCAGACCCCATGCTCATCACATATTCATTTGTAAGGAATTTGATCATCTTTCCTTCCACGTCCATTCTACAAGGCAGCATTGCCTTCTGACTCTAAACAAAATCTGCCTTCAGGGCTGAGAACGTGGGCTAGAGGGAGAGCACTGGCCTGGCACTGTGCTCCAGGCCTAGGCTGCATTTCCCAAGTTACACAGGAGGTAATCTGCTGGGGCACACCAACTGATTATTAAAATTACCAGGCAAACTCTGCATCTACGGCCACATGCACTGATGGAAGGTCATTTGCTCAAAGTTCATCCTATTAAAATAAACTGCAGGGACACCATGCTAAGAAATTTCCTTATACCTTGCAACCATGGTGCTGCTGAGACAGCACCTTCCCCGCTGCAGATCAGAATCCACCCCCACAGAAGTGCCCTGGCCCCACTGCCCCTTGCAGCTCCTTGGCTTGGGATCCACTTCCCAGCAAAGCTCACCTTCTTCTGAAGGAGCAGATGAGTTCTCCACTTTCCTTCAAGCAGACTGAGCTGGTGTTTCTGCTTCAACTGTGAGAGCAAAGTGTTTGCACCTCTGCACACACCCCAACCAGGAAGCCCTATTGGGTGGAGTCAGCCAAGAAACTGTCTCGGTGAGAAACAAACTTATTGCCCTGCAGGTTAGTGAGTGCTTCAGTTTTGCCAAATTGAAATGTTTTTGTTTATAAGACACTAAACTAACACTAAAACTTTCAAAGCTGTGTTTTTTCTTTTGGGGTACAGGGATGGATTTTTGAAAGCTTTTTAAAATGATGCAAGCATAGTGGGAACCTGATGAGTCACCTGGGGTAAAAGGAAAAACAGGTCTTTACCTTGATGCTTCAGGCTATGGAATCTGCAGGGGCTTCTTGGTGATTTTACAACAGGAATTTTCAGGAAGATCTCGAGTTACTCACTCAAAAATTAATTGCACTGAACAACAAAGCCAAAAGAGCCTGAACCATTAGGTAACAAAAACAGGAAAAAAAGAAAGATGAGAATTTTCTAACTACCCTATAGCTTCTCTGTTTTTTCCACACTGCTCCTCCAAGTTCGAAAATATATGTAACTACACCAGTAAAGATGCACCCAAAAGCTCAGAGCTTTCTCTGCTGCTGGATACAAGGCGAATGTAAAGTTTAACTTACTAAGACATTGCAAAAATAATAAAAATAACTGAAAGGAATATTTCTTCACACTGTCCTGGCTCTTGCGCAAATGGACTTAGTCTATCTGATTCCTGTGGTTTCTGTAACAAATTAACAAAAATGTAGAAGGTAAAACAACACGAAATTTATTCTCTCACAATCCTAGAAGTCAGAAGTCCAAAATGAATCCAAAGGGAATAAAATCAAGATGGTAGCAAACTCCAGGGAAGAATCACCCCTGGCCTCTCCTTCTGGAGGCCACCAACGTTTTTTTTTTTTGTTTTGTTTTGTTTTTTGTCTTTGTCTTTTTTTTTTTTTTTTTTTTATTGGCACCCGGGATCAAACTCACAACTGCCTGCTTGCAAGGCAGGTGCTTATGCCGCTGAGCTAAATCCCCAGCCCCCAATGTCTCTTGATTAACGTCACCACAATGCCTTCCTCCTCTTTTGAACGTCTTGCGTCTCTCCTATCAGGATTTCTGTGATTACGTTTAGAGTGCACCCAGATAAATCAGGGTAATCTCTCCACCTCAAGATTCCTGATTTAACCACATCTTCACCTCCCATTTCGGTGTGCAAGGTAACATGCACAGGTTCTGGGAATTTGGATAGATGTGTTACGTTTGAAGGCACATTTATTCAGCCTGCCATGATCTGCCACCTGGTTTGCAAACATTCATGTCATGGTGAAAGAAAAGACTGTTTTAGAAGGGAAGTCAGAGTAATCGAAGGGCCTGTCATGCCCATCAGAAGCACTCAGTAATCTCTCCTCTCTGGGATTTGCAATTTGATTTGTACAATTTCTGCTACAGTCTTCATTCTTCCCCTTGGCTTCAATGGCTGGGGATTCCGCTCAGTGGCATGAGTGCCTGCCTTGCGAGTGGGTGGTCATTAGTTTGATCCCTGGTGCTGATTTTTAAAAAAAGGAAAGAGTCACCTTTTGGTTTCATTTTCCTTCTTTCTTTGTTTTTTCTCTAAGAATACCACACATGAAGTCTTCTCAACTGCCTTGCTATAAATAATAAATACTATGCATCCAACTTACTGGGAGATAAAGGAACAACTGTAATGTACATATCAGTGTATCACACCATAAAAGTTTTTTATTTCTCATAATCCCTTATATTTTCAAGAAATGAGCAGGAAATTATTATAGGCAATTCACTTGTGTATAGAAAAAACACATATCCTGCCTTAGTCACACACACTTCCTTCCTTCCTCTTGTCTTTTTATCTTTTACTGAAAGTTGTGTTCATGTCTTAGGCAGCAAAACCAGGTTACAGGTTTTGCTTTAACCCTTCTTTGTAGCTGCTGAAGAGCTCACAGGAGCTGGAGGAGGGTTTGGACAAGAAGGAATATTCTCATTGTACTGACCTGTGCTGAGAAACCTCCGAGGGCTCCTGTAAGGCCAGCCCAAGGACAAGCAGAAGAGCCTTTCCGAATCCCCAACGTAGCCCGTGGCCGTGTTCAGAGTCGCCACTGCCACTCTAAGTCTAATGACTCAGTAAGTAACAGTGTAAATGACCTTAAAATCAGCGCTTATGGTGCTAATACCGTTTTAGAGCCCAGCAATGAAATTCTCAAGACCTAAGTGCTAATAACCAGCTGAGCAGTGTCATTACTCCTGGGTATGGCTTATCATATAAAAAAAGTGACTTAAAAATGGCATGTAACTGACTCACTTCTAAACTACGAAAGGTCGTGACTACTGGAATGCTGGACACCAGGGTTTCTCTCATCCTCTACTGGTGTAACATACTTGTTTTAGGAGAACACCAAGGACTTCCAGGTCACGATACCAGCCTGGCAGACAAGGCACAATGATGATACCAAAGTCTCCACTAGCATTTTTCCATTCTAGAGCAGCAAATACAAGAAGGGAAAAATACATTTTTATTAGACCTTCGCATTCAGTGCACAGAGCAAATGTGTGGACCAAGGGAACTGAATAAAAGACACAGAAACATCCCCAGGCACATTCAGCTATGTGATCTTTGACCAAGGGGGCAAAAGCATCAAATGAGGAAAATAACCTGTCCAGCAAATGTGCTGGGAAAACTGGTGATCCATTCACAGAAAATTGAGTCTGGACCCATATCTCTCACCATCTACTGTATGAAAATCAAAACAGATCAAAGCTCTAAACATTAAAACAGAAACATTGAACCTAAAAGTATTTCAGAACTAAACTGTGATATTCCATATCACCTAGCTTATCCCTGCTAGGTATTTTCCTCAAAGAGCTACAGACATGTACCAAGACGTGCATACCAGTGTTTATAGCAGCATAATTCATACTGGCTAAAACCTGGAAGCTGCTGGTACACCTGCCAATGGATGGAAGGCTAAAGAAAATTGCTATCTATACATTCTGGAATACTACTCAGCTACATAAAAGGTTAAATTTGAGATATTTGTAGGAAAATTGGGAAATACGATATTGAATGACATGAACCAGACACACAGCTGAAAGATCATACAGTATCTCTCAGTCGAGTAAGACAAAGTACAAATAAGAGAATGATAAAGAGTGGGTAGAAGAAGATAAGGGGATAGATTTCTTGCGAATGGGAAAGAGTCTATGAGACAGAAGATGAAGAGAAAGAAGGGGAAGTTGATAGAATTTTGGCACGGCTGAAAAGATAAGAAGTATGAAATATAAATGACCTTTATTTTATTTATTTATTTTTTTTTTTTTTGGTCTTTTTCGTTTTTATCGGTACCAGGGATCGAACTCACGACTGCCTGCTTGCAAGGCAGGCGCTTATGCCGCTGAGCTAAATCCCCAGCCCCTTGACCTTTATTTTAAAAATGTGGGGAGAGACCCCCCTGCCCCTCTGGGGTCTGGCATTGTCTCCGGGGGCTGGCATCCTCTCCCTCGGACACGTGTAGCTTAGGCTTGGGGTGGTGCCTAAGGGGCATTAGTGATGCACAGGCAGCCCATTGGTATTCATTTTGCGCCACAGGTAAACTCCTAGGGGCGGGGAAGATGAGCTCAAGATCGAGCCTCTTGGTTCTGCCTCCAAGGCTTTACCAGCTACAGTGTCCGGCCTAGGGCAAGACTCTTTCAGAAGTTAGTAGAAATATGAGATGTCACATATAAGAACTTCATAACCTCAGTGAATGTAAACATTAAACACGTACTAAGTATATAACAAGAACGAAAACAGGGAAAAGAAAGTTATAAATGGAGGAAGGTGCCAATAATCCCAGTACTCAGGTGGCTGAGGCAGGAGGGTGGGCGCAAGTTCGAGGCCGACCTGGGCAGTATGGCGAGTCCAGCCTGAACTGTTAGCAACACTCTGTCTCAAAAAAAAAAAAAAAAAAAAAAAAAAAGTGGAGGGAGGTGGGTAGGTGAGAAGGAAAGGAGCTAAAAGAAGAAACAAGCTATGTTATGCCCATGTACCCCCCTCCCCAGGATGAAAGTAAACATCACGTATTATAAACGTGCACTAATAGAAAATAAAAGAAATCAAATTATTATGATCCTCTACATAGAAAACCTAAAAATTCACCAAAAGATTTTTAGAATTATCAACCAAATTCAGTAAGTAACAGGATATAAAATCAACCCACAAAAATCAATAACGTTCCTGTACGCTAATAACCAACTGACAAAGAACTTGGGGGGGAGGTACCATTCATAGTACCACCAAGAGAAATTAAATACTTAGGAATTAATTAAGGAAGTGAAAGACCTCTACAACGAAAACCACAATGCCATAATAAAGGAAATCAGACAATGGAAAGATAGTCCCTGTTCCTGGATAGGCAGAACCAACATAGTCAAAATGGCTACACTTCCAAAATCCATATATACATTTAACACAATCCCAATCAGAATCCCAATAATATTCCTTTTTTTAATTTTAAAGAGAAAAAAGATAAAAATAATAATGAAACGGAGTTTCAAAACAGGTTAGTAGGACAGCTACAATAATGAATACATTATATAATGTTGTCTCCGTAGTAGCTATTCAGAGTACCAGATACAGGAATGATATCTTGTCCAAACAATATTAGCACGAACCTTTTGTTTCAATGAGCTGAGAGAAACTGGCTGTATAACTATCTTAGCTGTCTTGTGTATACATATACATTTTTTCTTTTTTCTTTTCTTCCTTTCCCCTTTTCCTCCTCACTGTTTCTTTTCTTTTGAACAGCTTCTTCCCAATTCACAGTATCTGTTGTACATTTTGGACCTTATTTACACATTCCGTTTCTCACACTAGTGACACAATAGGATATTTACACATACAGGCTGATAGAACTGTGGGGGGAGGAGGACCGGCGGTGGCTGAAAAGATAAGAAGTATAAAATATAAATAACCTTTATTTTGGGAATGCGGGGAGAGACACCTCCGACCCCCTGGGGCGTGGCATCTCCACCCCGGGGCCTGCGATCTCTCCATAGAACGCGTGGAGTGAGGCACATAAGTAGCCTCGGCTTGGGGTGGAACC